CCTCTGATTAAATCTGTTGATAAATATAATTTCCTTAATACGTAGTCTCGACTCCCAATCTGCGAGTCGCGGGTTCGAATCCCAGGTATTGAACATGTTCGCACTTTCAGCCGTGGAGCGTTATAAAGTGACGGTCAATCCCACTATTCGTTGGTAAAAGAGTAGTCCAAGAGTTGGCGGTGGGTGATGATAACTAACCATTTTCCCCATTATATATCATTGCAAAATTAGGGACGGCTAGCACAGATAGTCCCCGTGTAGCTTTACGCGAAATTCAAATCAAACCGATTTATAAGCAGTTACTGTCCTTAATTGGCCTTTGCCAGGATTTTAAAATGTCCCCTTCTTATAGGTTCATTACACTCACTAAGCGCATGTTTCTTGATGCTTGGAAATGACGTGAATCTTAAATTGGCATGTTCTTGTATGCGAGCTGTTAACCACCTAGTGGTGGATCCAATATAACTTAAAGAACGTTTAGGATATTTATGCTCCTTTACCGTATTAGAAAGTTTAAAGATTGGTAGGTATGCGAGTCTTAGGCCTACAGAATTACTGGAATTTGTATACAGGCTTGAAACTACATGGTATGTATTTTTTATTGTATTGAAGCTTGTTAATAAGTATTATACTTCCGAAACTTAAGACTATCGCTACTTTCACTTTAACGTTGTTCATAAATACAGAAAAGTTACATTTTAAATATTAGAAAGCCCTCCAGTGGCGCATCTTTGAAGGCTTATAACGCTAATAACCTAGTTTCGATACTCATTGTGGACACAGTACAGATAGGCCGTTGTGTAGTTTTGTGCTTAACAACAAAACAAACAAAAGTATTAGAAAAATAAGTTCGACATAAAAATTCTAGAACAATGTGTAATATAACACATAAGTTAGTTAATTTCAAAATATATATAGTTCTTAGTTTCATTATTCAAGATAGTGTTAACAATTTAAGAAACAACTGTTCAATTTTGAAATAAAACAAAAACTAAAAATAGATAATCAGAGGCTAATTAATAGAAAATTTCTCATTGTTAGAATTCGGTAACGATAATTTGTTTAATTGGATAAATACACAAAATAATTAATGTATTTTAAGATGTAGAAATAATCACTTAGAAAACTTATATAGCTTCAGAAAATTTAAGAAATATATTTTCATAGATCATTTAGATAAATCAATACAGGGTGGTCCAAAATAATCTATTTTAAAATTTAATAATTAACAACCCAAGGAAATACAACCATGGAGTTTTCAACATCTTGTAGCCCAACTGAAACAGTTTGTATTAACATGTCAATAGACTTGTACATGTGCACCATTAGTGGCTCTCAATACGTCTAACCGATATTCAATTTCAGTCCACGTTCGCTGCGACATGTCCACATTTACAGTGGCGATGGCGTCCGTTGTCCGGTTCTTTGGCTCCATGTTGGTTGCTATAGGTGTGCGATACACGATATCCTTAACATACCACAACGCTTCTTTTTTGTACTGGCGTCTATGATTTCGCTGCACCACAGTCACTAACTTGGTCTCTGCAGGCCAAACGACGCATTGAGCCTTTTCTTGCACGGTTTCCATTTTACGAGGAAGCACTCTCCCTGGAGTAAAAAACAACAACAAACGAAACAAAACATGACAATAAATACTATTTGAATTGGGCTACAAGTGTTTCAAAACTGCATGGTTGTAATTCCTTAGTTATTTAATTATTTGATTTTAAAATAGGAAGGATAATTTTGGGCCACCTTGTATTACTTTATGTGAACGATCCATGAATATTTCTTTCTTTTAATTCTACGGCCAAGTTGATGGTGTTGTTATTAGATCTGGACTAGTCCCTCTCACTCTTTAATGTGTTCGTGTGTCACCATTGAACGATCCATGAATATTTCTTTCTTTTAATTCTACGGCCAAGTTGATGGTGTTGTTATTAGATCTGGACTAGTCCCTCTCACTCTTTAATGTGTTCGTGTGTCACCATGAAAAATGTTGGCTTGAAGAATGTCCTTCTTAGTTTAAAGCATAACAGTAAAGAAGATAATAAAGATACCTTTATTATCTTCAGAGAAGCTCAACAGTGATACAATGGTAAATCTGACGGCTTATAACGCTAAAAACCGAGTTTCGATACTCGTGGTAGAAACGGGCACAGATAGCCCATTGTGTAGATTTTTGCTTAATTAAAAATAAATACATAAAGCTCAACAAGTACAAAGTTCTTAAACTACCTATCTTAACAGTAGACATCCAAGATTGCGAGACTCTTTATTCATGATATAGATGTTAAATTTGAATGTGAAGTTTTTCATGCCTATTTTGTATTTCAAATTTCATACCATTGTCTTTTAAGAAAAATCTGGTTAAAATATTGGTTCATATAAATTAATGCCTAAGTATGAAACTTTAACTAAACATACCTTTCCAACAAGCATTATAAATCATGTTATTCAAGACTATCTCAACGATAAGAATTTTCTACATAACCTAATTGGAATGTTGTTAAACAACAAAAAAAATTCTTTAGCCCTGCCATTTACAGGTATAAAATGTATTTTTATTAGAAACAAGTTATGCAAGATATATGAACCGAGATGTGATGTTAAGTTTGTATTCATATTACAGTATAAGGATCGAATAATTAAGTTAAAATCTTCTAATGTTATATATGTGTGAATATAAATGTCCTAAACGTTCTTTATGTTATATTGGATCCGCCGCTAGGTGGTTAACAACTCGTACACAAGAATATGCAACTTTAACTATAAGATGCACGACATTTTCAAGCATTAAAAAAGACACTCAGAATGAGTGTAATGAGTCTATAAGTAGACGAGACTTTAAATTTTTCGCAAATGGAGACAGGGAATAGAAACTGCATATAAAAAAAGTAAATTAATCAATATACTTAAACCGGGATTGAAAGAGCAAAACAGTGCAGTTCCTTTGTTGTTTTGATACAGTTTATCAATGGACAATTTTGTAATATTACTTCGTTATTATCTACAATTCATCCAAGTTGTTTGGCTTTCTCAGTTGTCACATAAAACCTCAATAATGTCCACATCAAGAATTGTTGCAAGTCAATCCAGCTACGTTGCAAGTGACTTCGAAAAAAAAAAGTTAAAGGATTTGGAGAATAAATTGTATTTTATTTGTGTTGTAAACTTCGGAATTTGTCTTTTTCTGCCAATCGCGGATATTTAGACTCGATTTCTAGCGTTTTAAATATTCAAACTTACCACTGAGGCAACAGTATAGGCTTGTTTTAACAATAATTCTTCAGTTAATTTTTACCTCATGTGTGTTTGGGTCCGAAACTTATATTTATATGTGAATATTTTGGATGAAAATGAAGTGAACTATTTGTTTTTCATGTGAAATATCATCTGTTCACTAGTATCTTACACGTATAATATATTACATGCCAAGTTTCGTAAGTAGTTATGTTATCAACATACAGATTGTGTCACCAAATTTTAAAGTATGCCCAAAAGGTTTCCATAGAAATAATGATAATAAAAAAAAAATGAATGTTCGAGATTTTACTTTTAGCAGATTCGAAAAAAAAAACAACAGGAATATTTAAATAAACTTTTTATAGTTTTACCGAATAAATTAACGTTATATTTTCAATGTGTGTTTTTATACTACGTTCATGCTCTAATACCTTTTCCTTGTGAGGAAGGAAGTGGAAGAGGAAGAAGTGCACGGTGAGGTCACGTGGTATTTTGTTGTCCCTGAAATTTTATATAAGATTATATAAAAAAGTAATTTTTTTTTCAAATAATCTTCAAAGAGAAAATCATAATTATGTGCATCGAATTAGGCTTAAAGAGGTTTCTCTGATTAATCCCACAAACACACGCATTTAGAAAGTCCAACATTTAATATCATTTTAGTGATGATAACACAAGAGACAGCGTTAATAATTGTAGTTCTTTTTATGCCTAACATGGCCTAATGGCTGGGGCACTCGAGCTGTAATATGAGGACCGTAGGTTCGAATCTTATCTCCGAACATGCTCGTCCTTTCTGCGACAGTTAATTCCACTAATTGTTGGTAAAGACTAGCTCACAATTAGGAGTGGCTAACACAGATAGCCCTCGAATAATTTTGCGCGAAATTCAAAACAAACAAGATGTTATTATCTTCAAATTTAAACGTTTTCTGTTTATGGTTTCCTAAAAAAGACATTGTTTGAAACATTATACTAAGATGCTAATATAATTCAAAAAAGCAAAAAGAAAAGAATGTAATTAAGCGTAAATTTGCGTGACAAATTCTGCGAAGTCAGAATCAAAATAAAGACAAGAATAATTTAGAAGCCCCTTTACTTATTAACGCACTCGAGGTCATTTACCGTGGTGGCTTTTCACATGAACGTAACTAAGTGACGTCTTGATTGTACAGACTGAATTTTAAAGGACATAACGATTCAACCAGCAAAAACTAGTCTTAGATGTTCCTTTGCAAAAAAAACTTTATTGTTGTGAGGAACTGGTTACGTCTGCAATAAATTAAATTCAAGGCAACTTTCTAAGTAGAAAATAAAAACCTCTGATTGGCCAAGCATGCGTGACGTCATCATTATCTTTTGGTTGATGTATTCGATACAAGTTTAGGTGTTAGCGACCTAGGTAAGTCTATTCGTGAGAAGTTACAAAAGAAAGGTTATTATTATTTTTTAATGTGTAACACGCTATTTCAGTTCTCCTCTTCTCCTCTATTCGTTTTTACTGATTGTTGACCTCTTAATATTCAAGGTCCATATTATTGCTGGCTGTAGCCCTCTTACCGGACGTATGCATGGCCAGTGACACATAAATACTCCGCCCACAAAGTCTAACCTTGAAATGGTTATAAGTGTTATTCAGACTTCGATGATTTCACAACCTGTCTATATCCAAGGGGAATTGCCGGTGTTGGTGTTATCCTTCTAGTTAACACATCCATCCATGTTTCAAGTGTAAACCTGTCTTCTATGATCCCTTATCCTTAGCGTGTTCTCTGCCTTACCAAGACTATCACAGAAAATCAGACAGATCGAGGAATTTTGACTCTACGTGAACACGATGAAAGTGGTTCTAGTTGTAAGTATAGACAATATTATATATGTAATTTTTACGAAGCAGCTCCAGGTATAGTAAGGTGTCTGTTGCAGTACTTTAGCCAGAGTTGAAATCAGATATGTATTATGTATATTATCGTGAGTGTTGCAGTATTTTAGCCACAACTGAAATCAGATATGTATATTATCGTGAGTGTTACAGTATTTTAGCCACAGTTGAAATTAGATATGTATTATGTATATTATCGTGAGTGTTGCAGTATTTTAGCCACAGTTGAAATTAGATATGTATTATGTATATTATCGTGAGTGTTGCAGTATTTTAGCCACAGTTGAAATTAGATATGTATTATGTATATTATCGTGAGTGTTGCAGTACTTTAGCCACAGTTGAAATTAGATATGTATTATGTATATTATCGTGAGTGTTGCAGTACTTTAGCCACAGTTGAAATTAGATATGTATTATGTATATTATCGTGAGTGTTGC